ACGTTTCTCTTGATCCTTAAAAACGGCAAATTATGTGGCTAGGAAGGTGTGCTAATAAAATATGGTGTGGCCCCATACCTTAATTTAGCTAGGAGCATCTCAGTACTAACAGTAATTGGATGTCTCTAACGGAGCAATTATATTAACTATCACAAGACATGCTATGTTAATATACAAAGCCTAGAAATTCCCATAAAAATTAGAAAGATCTCGCATGTAATTTAATATACACTAACTTATCTAACTTTGATCAAATTTATAGGAAAAATAATCAAGACTTAAAAACTAAATTAGATTTATTAAATTATCCATGGAACTTGTAGGTGTTAATATATTTTTCTCTCTAAAAACTAGACCAAAGTTAGAGAATTTAGAGTTCGGATAAAGCAAAATTTTGAGGTATAATATTAAATGAGGAGTACTGCCATGCATGATTAGTGATTCGATCGGTGGGTTAATGCATCTGACATTGGTGGTTTACCACTCAAGACACAAAGGATCTACTTATGGTTCGGAAATCTAAGCCTTACGGTCAACAGTGGTTTCTTCGTGCTAGAATGCTCAGTCGAGCTCTTACAATGGTGGAAAGAGAGAGAGAGAGAAATGGTGGGAGAGCGCTAAGCTATTAATCTAGGGTCGAATCTATGCATGTTTGAATTCTCACATTTCAAATTTCCTGATATTACAGTTTCTAAAAATCACAACATGCAAACAAGTTGCACAAGTGCCTTCTTCAGACTCCCGAGTAGTTGTTCTTTGGCTTCCGACTTGGAACTTGGACCGTGGAACCACCCGCGCCCACGTGCGGTCCAGCGTAAGCTTTGTTTAGCTTACGTTACAGAGACGCCAGGGTCGCCTACGCAATCACAAGTTAGTTAGACGTGAGCTCCTGACAGTGAAAGAAGAAACGGTGGATGGTTTCTTTATTGTTATAAAATCGATAATTTTAGTCACCTTTCCAATCGTATGTTGCTAAAGTCTTAAATCTCTTCAAGTTCAACAATTTGATAAAGTTGGTCTTCATCTGGCTTTGTTTAGCACTCCAGAGTATGAATGCACAAGTTCCACTCTACACAATGAGTAACCATCCTGTCGCACCAACCCCAGTTATGTTTGGTCTCACCTTGCATAAAAGGATTAGTTCATGTTGATGATATAGATTCTCAAAGCCGTATATATTGGTCTGTCACCCTCAATTATATATAATTCAAGGTGAGACTAAACTCCCGTATAATGTTTCATGGCACATATATGGGCCACCATATAGGCCAAATGAAAACTAGATTGGACGTCATACCTTGTCTGATTTATTGTAATTTAATTGCACCCAACTATATTTCTAAAGGCGGTCCAGCGTATCGATTCAACTGAAAGTCGATTTCTAGAGGACGTTTACTATGGTGGCCTTCTATTCAGGGCGACTGAAAATCACAGCCCTCTTTCAAAAAAAAAACACAAGGCAATTCTAAAATTTATTTCTGTAATAGCTAATGATGAAGATCTCAAACGGTTCTCTTAACAAACGGCAAATTGTGTGGCTAGGAAGGTGTGCTAATAAAATATGGTGGCCCCAGCCCTTAATTTAGCTAGGAGCATCTTAATATTATTAAGGGGCTGTTTGGATCCTTTTATTTTGGAGGAATTGAAATATGCTTAATAGATTAGGCATTTGGTTTGGAATTTGACATTCCACAACTTTTCAAATTTCACATATAAGCCTATCTCAAATTCATAGGGTGCGAAATAGAAATTGATTCTATAAATCTCCATGTTATGTTTCTACTCTCTAACTTATAGCATACTCTTCAACTCGTTTTTCTACAGTAGAAATACAACATATAAGTATTTACCTTTATAGCTAACAATAATATATAAATATATTTCATATAGAACCATATTAGCTTAATTCTTTTGTGCCTAAATTATAATTAGTAGAATGAATTGAATTCTAAGGAACCAAACGGGCCCTAACAGTAATGGGATGTCTCTAGCGGAGCATTTATATTAATTATCACAAGGTATGCTATGTAATATACAAAGCCTACAAATTCCCTTAAAAATTAGAAAGATCTCGCATTTATTTTGATATACACTGACTTATCTAACTTTGATCAAATTTATAGACAAAATAATCAAGATTTTAAAAATAAATTAGATTCCTTAAATTCTCCATGGAACTTGTAGGTGTTAATATATTTTTCTCTCAAAAAATAGACCAAAGTTAGGGAATTTAGAGTTCGGATAAAGCAAAATTGAGGTATATATAATATTAAACGAGGAGTACTGTCGTGCATTCGATTCTGCGGCAATGATTAGTGATTCGATCGGTGGGTTGATGTGTGTGACTTTGGTGGTTTACCACTCAAGACAGAAAAGGATCTATCCTAGTTTGGGAATTTAAACCCTACATTCAACAATGGTTTGTTCATGCTAGAATGTCCAGTCGAGTTCTTACGATGGTGGAAGGAGAGACAGAGAGATGGTAGGAGAGAGCTAAGCTATTTATTCTAGGGTTCAATCTATCTCAGTTTGATTGATCCTTTCTAATGAGGACATGACATCTATTGATACATCCATGAAAGTTAGTCTTAAAGACAAGGTGAGATCATTCCTATGTTTGTACAATGACATAATTAAGAATTTGTTGGTACCTAATGTTGTTGCATTCTAGTAACATAGATGATGATGATGATGCCATCATGGGAAAGACACTTTCTATGGCCTCTACAATGGATGGGACATGGATACAACATCCTCAAGATCCATCTTGCGGTACAAGACCATCAAAGCACAACATTAATTCAGTATGTCGGTGGCCTGACAATACTCTATTGGTCAGGCCATAACTCCTTCATCTGGAGTGAGTTTGAGTTCCATGAGCACTTGATGGATTTCAATTGGATCTAGTCTCACATCAATATCACATCGTCAAGATCTTCAACCGTCGGGTACCACGACATCACCGTGGGCTTGTTATTCACCTTTTAGACCCTGGCCCAAGTTGGAACATGCCGAAAAGAGATGGAGAACACACCAAGGAGTCAAGCAAGGGCGTCCAAACCAAGTTGGAGGCCCAATCCATGTCAAGTTCGAGTCCATCTCGGACTCAAGGAGCAGCGTGTAGTAAAACAGATGCACATAGGACGCATACAGAATCCGTTTTGAACGATCCACCTATGGATGGAAAGACAAATTCATAACATAACCAATGACACTCGTCCCATGTCAAAATTCGATCAGAGTCAATGGGAATCATCAAAACAAGTCTGCCTCTAGAATCTGTCAGGGTACTGTGGTGCCATCTTTTGGGCTATTTGGGCCTTGTAACGTGTCGAAACTCCTTAGTGACATTACTAGGGGTCCCTGACACCTCCTTGGACTATATAATCAGTAGCCTCCGTCCATGTTAGGATTTGAGTTTTGCTTTAGATTAATCTCTCTTTGAAAAGTCATCGTTTTTAGTTCTAAAATCCCAACTTCGAGTGCTTCAAAATATATTTGCAATTGTCACTTTAATTGTGTTGCTTCATTCGAGTTCTTGCTTGTGTTCTTTGTTTCATAGGCAGGGATTAGCCTTCTTGGCATGGTTAAATGGATTAGTGACATAATCGATAACAGAGGAGTCGTGGTGCTAAGGTTATAGGGTTCTGGATCGACGTTTCGTGCTCCATCAAAATGGGAGTTATCATCACCTGACAGAAGATTAAGAACCCCATCTCCTTCACTTTCTACACGAGTCCCGGCCCAACCTTATATACTTGAGCGCTCGGAGGTACAAGGAGAGCGGTTCATGATCGTATTCGAGGGTTTTGTGTCCTAATTTTTAGTTGCCGTTGGCACTAGGCGTCGTCCGTCGTTGCTGATCGTGGCCAACAGTCATGAACCATCTCTGACATCCTTCGTTGAAGCCTAGAGCTAGCTGTTGAAAGCTGGAGTTGCTGTGTGCCTTCCCTAGGTTCGTCTTCCTTGTGGCCTCTGTTGCACGATAAGGACGTGGCCACATGCATGTAGGGAACGCCTGACTAGCGGGCCCGAGCATTCTCATACCATGGCCGTGCGCTCGTCCTTGTCGCGTTGCGTCACGTCCTAGGCGTGACCCTGAGCCGAGATTGGCCGACACGGCCTCGAGGGTGCAAGGGGACACAGCTCCAGAAGGGCCTAGTGCCTTGTAGCTCTGCCCGTGTGTTAGGTTCAGAGCACCTATCATATTTCAAATGGGAAGCTCGGCCAGAACCGTACGGTGGCTCATGTTGCCTTCCTTGATCTGCTAGCGCCCCTCAAAGGCAGCAGCCTCCTGATTCTTGCCATGTTCCCGAGTATGTGGGACTTGGTCGTGGCTGTTCTACCTAGGGCTATCTCTCAGAGGCCATGGCCTTGTCCCCAAATGGGGTGTCTTAGCCCAACATGCCTTCTGTGGTTACCCAGAGGTGTGCGTGCGAGCGCACACAACGGATGTAACTCCAAGCCCGTGGCTAATTAGGAGAATTAGACAGGGAGTTAATCGTAATGCCATGGTGTAAATCCGAAGGTTTAGGTACTCAACTAGTATCATTTTTAAATTAAATGTAAGCGTAAATGTTACTGCCACCATGCAACCAAGTAAATGCACAAATTAGGATAAATATTATTTATTTTAATATTTTATTAATCGTGAAAAAATATTCTCTTAATATATCACCGTATCAATGACACCGACAAATTATTTTAGCTTTCATTAAAACTTCCATACAGGCTTAATTAACACCATACTTAGATCACATAGATGCTTTCATAAAAAAAAAGATCACATAGATGCTAAAAGGTCTTGCGGTCCGACCCTTGAGAAAAATTCCTTACAATACACACACACACACACTATATAATGACCGTTCAGAAAAATTCCTTACAATACACACACTACATATATAATTGTCTTTCGGGGAGAAAGCAGAGCACGCAGAGCGTCGATTGTGTGTGGTTGACCATATTTTATTTTCAAAAGGTGATGAAGGACCTTTTATTCAGTTTAGGGAGCTAGGCATGGGGATAGGATGGATGCGTGGTGTAGGGATGAGCACGAGGGGCTGAAGCCGGGCGGAGACGAGACCCTGCTTTTCGTCCATGTTCAGTTGCGGCGGCTCCCGACCTTCCTGGTGCGGCACCGCCCAGTCAAAGCACTGGACCAGCGCGGCAAGGAACGCCGGCACGACCTGCACGGCGTACCCCATGCCAGGGCAGGCACGGCGGCCACCGCCGAAAGGCATGAGCTGCATGTTCTGCACATTCACTTCCATGCCCTCGTTGGCGCCGCCGGGCATGAAGCGCTCCGGATCGAACTCGAGGGGCTTCTCCCAGTACGCCGGGTCACGCCCAACGGAGTAGATGCTGAAGAACATGGTGGTCTTGGGCGGGATGGTGTAGCCGCGGACGTGCACCGTCTCGATGGTCTCCCGCACCGCGAACACCGCCGGCGGGTGCAGCCGGAGCGTCTCCTTGAGCACCGCCTGCAGGTAGGGCAGCTGCGCGACGTCCTCCTCGCCCACCAGGCGCGACCTGCCAATGACGGCGTCCAGCTCCGCTCGCAGCTTGTCCAGGCAGGCCGGGTGGTTGATCAGCTCTGCGAGCATCCACTCCACTGTTGTCGCTGTTGTGTCCGACCCCGCGGTGAAGATGTCCTGGACGTGCACGTGCAGCGAAATATATATATATATATATATATATATATATATATATATATATATGAGTAAACGTAGAGTCAAGAAGTGAAGTGACATCTGGACACGTAATGATGTTATAGTATGTATATGTATATAAAGAGCGATGGAGAGCAGGGCGGGCTAGCTCACGAGGACGAAGGCCTTGATGTTCTCCCTGTTGAGCTTGACCTCTGCGTTCTCGTCCTCCGCGGCGTCCATGAGGATGTCCAGCAAGTCCTTGGCCTTATTAGCAGGCGCCGCTCCTGCCGGTGGCGGCGACCGGCGCGCCTCCTCCTTCTTCTTGATCAAGATCTCAAGCAGGGCGTCGAACTTGGCGTGCACCTCGTGCGCCCTCCGGCCGAGCCCCTGCAGATCAAATGGGCGGAACAGCGCAATGTAGTCGGCGATGTTGAAGGAGCCCACGAGCTCCGTCACCTCCTTGGCGCAGTGCCGCGCCGTCTCCGTCAGGTGGTCGGGCAGCGCGCTGGCCGTCATGCGCATGATGGCGTTGTTGGCCATGGCGATGAGCTGGCGGCTCAGGTCCACGCTGCCGCCCCGCCCCGCCGCGGCGGCCGCCTCCCGCAGCAGCGCTGCCAGCTCGCCGTCGCGCACGGGGCGCAGCAGTTCCAGGGTGCGCGGGCCCAGCAGCTCCGACATGCACAGCCGCTTCATGAAGCGCCACTGCGCGCCGTAGGGCGCGAAGGCGAAGCCGGCCGAGTCGTAGGCCAGGAGGCGCGTGATCGACGAGTGGGTCCGCTGCGGGATGCTGGACTCAAGCTTGAGGAGGTCGCGGGCGGCCTCCGCGGAACCGACGACGACGCCATGGTTTGAGGGACCCAGGCGGAGGTGAACCAGCGGGCCGTACCGGCCGACGAGGCGGTGGAAGGCCTGGTGCGGAGGCGGCCGGAGCAGGTGCAGGTGCCCGAGCAAAGGAAGGGCCGGCGGGCTTGGGGGAAGCTTGCCTCCGCCCCTTCTCCTCGCCGCTGACACCGTAAAGACGAAAAGGATGATTGCTACGGTAATGAGCATGGCTGCATCGCTGCTGTAAGCGGCGAGGATGCTGCCACTCTCGACGACCTCCATGGCTGGCAATGCAAGCTTTGCTGCCCAGCTAATGGTACGTGCATGGGATGATGATTGCCCCGGCCTCTCTGATCGGCCTTATATATATGGACATCCTCATGGACGCCGCCAGCCACCTGTAGGCTGTAGATACGTGTACAAACTTTCAATCCGATTTGAAAAGATGCAGACTGGTTCTTGAGTCATAAATTTCAACACACATGGGTGGAATCAAATGTATACTCCGATGCTCAAAGGTCAAACACGTGGAGCAGCGACGACCATGTCATCCTAGCTAGGTTGCTAACTACGACACCTTTCACACCTGCCTCCTCTAGTGCATGGGCGTAACTTAAGCATCGATGCAATAACCATTCTCAGAAGAGAGTTAATTTGATAGGGTTGTTTCTAAAATGTAGAACACAATAAAATATGGATAAAACAATCACTCGTAATGCATAGTTCTTCTTTTGTTTCATAGACATTTATTTCTATGAATCATTTAGAGATGGAATATAGCCAAGAGAGTTTCATTTACATCTACTTAGTTATGTTGCCAAATCAAACTCTGATGAAATTCCAACCGAGATTGATCAAATGAACTCAAGCAGTGGCACTACATTAGAACCCCCATCACTACTTGGTCAGAACCCCCCATCATCGCCAAAATTGCTGCTGGTAGAGGATAATCGACAGTGATGGGACGGCTTATCACTGCTGTTTTCAAACCGGCAGTGATACCAATGAGTGGCACTGTCGGATTAAAGCATCCATGAACCAACGGTGATATCATAAGTGTCACTACAGGATTAAAGCATGAACTGATAGCTATATCATGATATCACTCTGGATCAATGCCACACCTGGTAGTGAATTGGTGAGTATCACCGCCGGCTTAATACCACAACCGGCTGTGAGTTTTATAATTCTCCACATATATATAGTGCACACCATGTATATATAACGCACTAGACAATTATAATAGTGCACCAAAGTAACTACACTCTGGGAGTATAAAATATTTTCCCATATATACAGAGTATTGTACTAGCTAGTTAGCAGCCTAGGATCAGCCTAGACGGGAGCCACCTCTGTAGAGTTTAACTTGATCTATTCATATAATCGTTGTTACAACCTAAAATTTCTGGTTTTGGGTTGTGAATAGAAAACACATATAAAATAAATGAATTGATGATTTTTCTTAAAAAATTGTTATCTTTAGTTTGTTTGCTAGCAATCATGTTAAACAAAATGCTTTTACAAATTTTTTTAGAAATCATTTTGTTAGTGGTGTTGCATTCATGCCGGTTGCATAATTTAATTTGGGTAAAAAATGAATTTATAAAATATGTTAAAGCCATAAATGGGTTTTGTTCTCTTTTGAGAGATTTTGTTTCAAAACAAGTTTTCAAAATGAGTTTAAGTTGGATTTCAAAAGTATATGAAAATATGATTTAAATAATACTTTAATGGTTTGTAAAATGGGCTTTACGAAAGATTTAAGAAATTTTTAAATATAACTTGGTTTAAATCTAATATAAAATGAGTTTACATAAAAATAAATAATAAATTTTATTTTTCAAATTTGAAATATTTGAAAATTATTTTGCAAAGGATTTTCGTTTGATGGCTTTGAAATAAAAGGAAACCTTTTCATTTTCTTTTCTCCTCTCTTACTCTTTTCTAACCAGTAGGAGAAAGCTGGCCCGACCCTTTTCACCTTATCACCGCGCAGCACCATCCCAACCCATCGGCCTCAGCTCGGCCTAGCCATACGCAGCCGCACACTCCCTCCCTCGGTCTTTCTCTTGCACGGAAGCCTACCAGGACACCCGAGTTCACGGCGAGTGGAGCAAGCCCAGGACTTTCTCCGCTCTCTCATTGACGATCACTGCTACAAAAAAATGTTTGTAGCAATGGGATAATTTTTTTGTAGGGGCGGCTGGTGATTGAGCCACCCCTACAGTGAGCGTGCTCGAGACCCACGAGACCAGCCGCCCCTACAAAATACAAACCGCCCCTACAAATGGGTCGATTTGTAGGGGCGGCTGGTATGTAGAGGCCCCTACACACCTCTCAAGTCCGGCCACAAAATAGGCCTCTCAAATACTCGGCCTGTCTCATGGCCTGGTCGGCCCACTCCCCGGGGCTAGGGTTTTAACGAAGCGTATAAGAGCTCCCACCCGAGCATCCACCCACGCCTCCTCCAAACCCTAGCGCCGGCTCCTCCACTTCGCTTCCTCACCCCATCTCCTCCTGCTCAGGTATCCCATCTCCGCCTCCGAGTCCACCATCGATCTGGCGTCGCGTTCTCTGATTATTATCTCCCCATGCGCTGGTTGCTGATCCGTGCTCTGCTTTCCAAATCTCCTCCTTGGGCGCAGGGTCTGGTGGCGAAGGGAAGGCCAGATGTACACCGCGAGGAAGAAGATCCAGAAGGAGAAGGGCCTTGAGCCCTCCGAGTTCGAGGACTCCGTCGCCCAGGTGAGCTGAGTGCCAATCCCCCTCCTCTCTCCTCCCACTGTTGCGTTTCCTTTCCTTCGGACTGATGCTCTGTGTGTGGTTGCCCATGTGTCGGGGTTGTGATGTGTTTTCGGCTGGTTTTGCTATACCTGCAGGCTTTCTTCGACCTGGAGAACGGCAACCAGGAGCTCAAGAGCGACCTCAAGGACCTGTACATCAACAATGCTATGTAAGATTACCGTTTCTTCCTACTACCTATTGTCGCCTGTTGAGATGTAGTAGCCTGTGGTTTTTGGTTTGGACATTGGATGACGATGCTTGTTGTGACTTTGCAGCCAGATGGATGTTGCCGGGAGTAGGAAGGCTGTTGTGATCCACATCCCGTACCGCCTGCGCAAGGCCTTCGGGAAGATCCACGTTAGGCTCGTCAGGGAGCTTGAGAAGAAATTCAGCGGCAAGGTGAATTTCTCGTTTTGTTTTTCTACTGGTGTGTTTAGTTTATATGCTAATTGTAGCTACTGCATAAGTTAGGACGAGGTAATGGATTTAGATGCTGTGTGGGACTCTCGCATAAAATTGGTTGTCATGAACAGCTAAGCTGTGGTCACAGCTGATTGTCAATACTGTCGTCCTCATATATGTAGTCCATTCCTTTGGCTTATTTCAATGTTTGAATTATTAGTTCTTCATGAAATGAGAAGAAACTTCTGACCCTCTTTGCCAATTTATTACATGTTAGACATATCTACTTGTATTACACATACTACCTCTATTTTTTTGTTTTGTTAGCACTTGAGTGCTTGCTTGGTCTTTTTGTGATATAGATATATGTTTTGTTGTCATAATATGAGTCTATTTGTTATTATTGTGATTCTTGTACTATAGAAGATATTTAGAAATTTTTGGCTAAACAATCTTGTTTGGGCCAAGATATTACCAGACACTTGATTATGTATTTTACTCGTGTTCATTTTCTCAGGAACAACAGGGAAGCTGCATATGAAGATATGACAAAGTTGATAGAAAAAAGCTAAAAACAATGCTTCTCGGCTTATGAGAAACGTTCAGAATATTGCTAACGGGAACAAACTATGACAGATTTGCAAACAGTGACCCAATTGGATCCTTTACGTGTTTATCCATACAGATATTGAGCAGCAGGTTGGATCAAATTGAAACTTTTCTTCTGGTTTGCTGATAACTTACAATAAATTTTTATAATAATACAAAAGTCTGCATTGTATTTTACGTCATCTTCAGTTCTGCATTGAGAACCAATAGATCATGCCTTAAGATGCTGCATTATGCAATATTAGTGTTTCTCTATACATTTTTTTGGTAGCTGTCTTCCTTTTTGAATAACTTTTACCTGTTGCTACTGGCCCCATGTTTTACGGTTTAAAGTGTATTGATTGAAATGGAAATACTATGTTTCTTATCTAAAACGTCTGATACTATAGCCATCGTTCAAATATAGCTTTAATACTGAAACTTTGTTTTAAGCACAGTGCACTTAATTACTCATTTTTTATTCTGTTTGCCCTGGTGGTGATTACCTTCTCTTTATTGTTCAACATGAAGTTCATTGGACTATCATTGCAAACACTTGTCCTTTTTCCTGGATTGTATCACTTTGCAGAATTCCTCTTCTTAACATAAATTGGTCACAAGTTTTGAACCCTGCACCACTTTGACTAGTGCAGCAGCCCAGAATCAAGTAGATTATGCTAAACTTAGAACCACCGTGTGCTAACATAAAAATATGCACAGGCGTAACAACCTCATCTTCGTGAAAACTCTCATACCTATGAAAGTACTCCTTATTCATGTCATGTACTCATGTCTTTGTGAAAGTGCTAAGATGAATAACGTGTTAGACAATGATACAACTTTTTCATGTCTTTCATGTATTGCTCTGCACAGCATAAAAATCTAGTTAAAACATTGTTTTGGTTTTGATTTGCACAGTGCTGATGGATAGCCACAAGGAGAACGATGCAATAGCGGAGCTCAGCCGTGCGATATCCTTCAAAGCCGACCTGCACTTGCTGCATCTCCGGGCTTATTTCAATGTTTGAATGATTAGTTCTTGATGAAATGAGAAGAAACTTCTGACCCTCTTTGCCAATTTATTACATGTTAGACATCTACTTGTACTACACATACTACCTCTATTTTTTGTTTTGTTAGCACTTGAGTGCTTGCTTGGTCTTTTTTGATATAGATATATGTTTTGTTGTCATAATATGAGTCTGTTTGTTATTATTGTGATTCTTGTACTATAGAAGATGTTTAGAAACTTTTGCCTAAACAATCTTGTTTGGGCCATAATATTACAGTCAAGTTTGCCAGGATACTTGATCATATATTTTACTCGTCACAGGATGATTTGGGGGAGCACGTGCTGGTAATTTGAATTTTTTGTGTGGAAAAATGTATTGTAGGGGCGGTTCTAGACTGAACCGCCCCTAAAAACAGGTATTATAGGGGGTGGCTGGTACTACAGCCACCCCGACAAATCGATTTGTAGGAGCGGCTGATAACACTAGCCGCCTCTACAAATCGATTTATAAGGGCGGTTCCCATGTAGAGACGGTATGGTAGGCACGGCTGGTCGAGTCGCCCTACAAATGCTTTTTGTAGTAATGGATCCAGCCCCTGCAGCCTGTCTTCTCTTTCCTATATTTCCTTTGTCGATCGATATCAGGCTCAATCTTCCTCTTTCCATCCTGAGCCCCACGGCACACATCCTGAGCCCCAACTCACCTGCAGCCATGCCTTGAATCATCATCTGAGCTCCCAAACCCTAGCTTGTCGCCGTCACCGCTGATCTATGCCTCCGCTGCTGTGACGTCGTCAAGAGCACCCGCAGAAGCTTATCTAAGGGGTAAGCAAGCTCCTGGTACCATATCCTATCCCTCTCCGTGACTCCCTGTTGCGCCTATGACCTCACCGGAGCCATACAGTAGAACCAGCGTAACCACTGCCGGTCGGTTACGGTGGAGCCAACAGTGATAAGTATATAAATCACTTTCGGTTTATGGCTTTAACCGGCAGTGATAGGAAGAATATCACTGCCGATTCATGGTTTCAACAGGTGGTGATAGACATCGTGTTATCACTGTCGGTTGAAGCCACAAACCGACATTAGATTAAGATAAACTCATAGCTTTTTCATATGACATTGTATTAAGATAAACTTATATCAATATTGTTAGCGGCGGGCCCAGGATTTGGGAGCCGGGTATTCAAAACATAAAGGGGTAACAATTTTTTTTTCTGAAAACCAAATGGCTAATATTCGTCATGTATAATGCCATATAGTTAAAATTGCATAATATATAGTTCAAGAATTGAGTAGAATTTCCATTAGAATATGAATCTGAGCATAAATTGAAATTGTTTCAGTGCCTGGCGTGTTGTCCTACTGCTGGCGCTTGGCGGCAGTCGGCTTCCGCCAGCCCTAGCTGCTGGTGCACGCCCGAGCCTCCTGTCTGCCACCGTCGCCGCCGCCCGCTGCCGCTCGTAGGTCGGAGTCAGAGCTAGGGTTCATCGGTTCGGTTCAGGGGAATTGGGGAAAGAACAGAGACCGCGCGGCGCGGCCGACCGTGACTCCGCGTGCCTTCCCTGTGCGTGCGAGACAGGAGAAAGGAGGTGGGAGCGCGATTTTGAGCCTCCGGTAGAGAAATTGGGCTGCTCAGCCTCGTTGTGCCATCGGTGGGAGAGAAAACCAGAGTGAGAATTGGGCCTATTTGCCTGTAGAGGTATTCAGTTCGCAGTATATTTGTGTTTTTTCATATACGGACTTGTATATGCACTATATTTATAAATTTTTTGTCAAAAAATTTGGGTATTCAACTGAATACCATTGAATACAAGTGAGCCCGCCCCTGAATATTGTAGAGTTTAAAGAGGTCTAAAACTTTGTGGTTGGTAATAACTTTTTGATTGGAGATGGTTTACAAGTCCAAATATGTAATATAAGTTATCAGATCGGATTTGAGATGAGTGACAATATTGAATAGAGATGAAGTCAACATCAAAGTTGTAGTACTCAACAAGACCAACTTTGCGGTTAACACCTTTTTGATTTGAGATAATTTAGAGTATTAAATATACAATATAAGATTTGATACTGTGTAGTTAAAAGAATAGCATCTGCTATATAGTCACAATGTCATGTAGCTCAGTTGGTATGTGCGCTAAGACCTTCACTCCAGTGCTATACATTGAGTCAGTCGAAGTCAGTTTCATCTTTCGGGTGAAATCATGGTGAGAAACTCGTCCTCAGCCATGGCGTTACGTTGTCGGGAGCGCCACTCGGGCGACAACAACTCCAAAACCCAACCCTAGCCATCCGACCAATATCTAATTAATGTTTTAGATTAGAACTTACCCCTTCAGTCCATCATGAACCCATGCACCCCGGTGGTTGTGTTAGTCGGTTCACCGTGAGCTAGCCAACCAGAATCCTCCACCTTAGCGGCGACCCAGACAACACCAATCAACCCTGCCATTTTCCATACCCCTAGGCTTCTTCACAATAAACTCGTGGTCCTGATCTATTCAAAATTTATTTTTGTTTAACCCCCTTTGCTTTTCCAAAATAGAACGCGCAATCCACCCAAGGTAGTTTTACACATTAGACCCTATAGTTATGCGTTTAATTATGTACATGCCCACATTAAATTTACAATTATGCCCCTGTAGCTTGTTTAACTCGTAGTTTCTCCATTTTGACTCGATCTTTTTGCATTGGATTTGTAGCAAGGTAATCTATGTGTTAGCAATGATGTTTACCATATTAAATTTCTATATTTTTGTAATTTAAATATTAACTTGAATTATGTTTATGTAATTAGTTTGCTAATTAAAACCAACTTAGGGTTGCACCATTGGTCTTTTGTAAATACTTATTAATTTGATTAATACCAACTTAACATGTTTTATTAATTATAATTTGATTAGTTTAAACACAAGTTGTATTAAATTCGATTAGATGCTCTTTCACATGTAGTTTCTTTTGCAAAGTTAAAATTTAACTTGCTTAAATGATGCAACAATATTATATAAAATGTGACTAATATTGCTTTGACTTTTCAAAAGTCAAATGTTGGGGGAATGCCTTTGGAGCGCCACCCCGGTCTACCCTCAGCTACAGACGAAACCCTCGATGATTCCCTGCGGGGGAATCCCATCGAGAGACGCCCTCGGCGAAGGTTATCTGGCTAACAGACAAGGTGGAGGTAACTCTGGTCATGTATTGGTGCATCGCTTGGGGGCATCATCTTCCGGGCAAAGAGGCACCTTCGCTAGGTTACTGTGTTAGTTTGCTTGTATGTTTGTATATGTGCTTGGTGTTTGCTACGTGTAGAAGGAGAACCATACGTAAACACTGAAGACCAGAAGTTAAAGATTAGAGGACAAAGACTGAAGATCCTCTACAATAGCTATACATAGAGTGCAAAGCAAGTGTAAAAGGAAGGCATGTATAATATGTGGCTCTTCTTGATAATTAATAAACTTAATGTCACTATATTCATCTATGCATGTGTGTAGCTGAAAGGTCCTTGTTTCGTTTTGTTAATTGAGTGACAACCTAGATGGACTAATAAGTGTTTGTGTTGAAATACACAGATAATTAATCCACATGTACACTAGTGTGAGCAACCTTGAGCCATGGAGGTCGAGCTGGCTTGGATATGTTGCAATGCTCACCTATGCGTTAATGAAGGAGCTTATTGCATATGATGCATGACATGAAGTCATGTGCCTAGGTGGAGAAGATCAAGATAACGTTTCGTGTCGATGGACCGGTTGCGAGTGTGAAGGGCAAGTCGGAGGCTTTAAAGCGACACACCGTACGTAGCGAAGAAGCTTGAACAAAGACTTTGCACCGTGGACAAGGGCAACGGTGAAGAGCATGCAGAGTTATGATCGATGAACCATATCATTCAACGAAGATCAAGCCAAGTGTTGACTCATGATGATGATCAAAAGGCT